AGCTTTTTGAAAGCAATCGGCTTCAGGGCTGCTACCTATAGTCTCCATTGTAGTTCCTTTTTTTGGTTTAACCAATTTAAGAAGTAGGATCCTATAAGGTAACCCCAAAACGGAACTACAATGGAGACTATAGCTAGGACCTCGATGTTGCGGATGTCGCTCGAAGGGTTCAGGGTTCAGGGTGTGGGGTTTGGGGCTTAGGAAGTTTAGGGTTTAGTGATTTTAGGAATTCTAGGGTATTGAGTTTCTTGGGTTTGGGGTCCGAAAACACCATACAATCATATACAGCCGTTTTGAAACCTCGCTTCGAAAGCACCTGACCCCTGACAGCATTGACAGCAACTTTGGTAGGAGAGAACATAAGCCGCATGTTGGGGTTTGGGGTTTAGGGTTTGGGGTTTAGGGTTTAGGGCATGTTAAGCCCCATCGAAACCTAGCAAATCCAGAGACGACAGGATACAGAAACCGCTTGATGCCAGTGTGCAAAAGAATAAAGAATCCTCGTTAAAGAACCCTAAACTTTCCTAACCCCTTAGCCTGTATTAGGGGCTTAGTTGCGATAAGGACGAGGGGCTACATAGCAGGGGCGAGGGTAAACCGAATAGTTGGCGTTCCGAGCGGCAGGAAGAACACCAACAACGGAAGCTCCGTAATGAGCGGGAACAAATACTCCTGGCCACAGAGAATCGACACCTGGGCCAAGCGCTTTCGGCAGTGTCTTGGGGGCTTCGGGTCTCAGTCGATTTCGACTGAGAGCTTCAATGTGCTACCTAGACCCTTAAATGTAGTACCTTGTTTTGGGTGACCTATGTTATGGTTAGGATCCTAATAGCAAGACATAAGACACTAAGGCAAGCCAAAAAAGGTACTACATCTAAGGGTCTAGGTAGGGTCTCTGAATCTAGGGCCCCCCAAAAGCACGGAAGCAAACATTAGGATAGGGATATCCCATCTAAACCCCCCTTATAATGAAGCCCAATAATAATGAAGCCCAGAAAAGTAGGGATATCCCTGTAAAATGCTTATGCTTGTGTCCTTTTTTGGGTTCCTAAGATTCTAGATCTTGGAGGATTTAGGGGTCGTTGGGGCACGGGGACACCGCGAACGGCAGAAGCACCAAGTGCCATGGGCTCAGCTGAACAAATACATCAAGGTTTAGGGCTTAGGGTTGAGGACTAGGCTGACTTCTGAACCCCTCCTAAAAGTTAAACTTTTGCTACTTATTCTAGCCCATATAGGAAACCGGAAAGTTTAAGTCCTAAGCATGAACTTCCTCTTGTCTGCACGCGAGTCTGTATGATTTCGTGTAACGTAGAGGGTCCATAAATACTATCAGTATGGAATTAGGTCCCAGAAGACCATCCTTACTATGGCTTTGGGGACAGAGCTCCGCAATAGTAGTATACATGATTTTTGTGTAATGTAGGAATCCTCATTATTAAGAAACCCTGGTCCCATAACACCCCAAAAAATAGGATCCAGAAAAAAAGAGAAACCTAACAAGGAACCAAGGCTTCCAAATCAGGTTCCTGCATACCCTAAACCCCTTTTATCCTAAACCTTTAAACCCCTAAACCTAAACCTAAACCCCGAAAACCTTAAACCCCTAAACCCTAAACCTCTAAACCCCTAAACCCTAAACCTAAACCCACACAACCGTGCTGCGCATTACTTGTCTAAGTCCAGTCGTTACAAGTGCAGAGCTTAGCGAGGAGGCTCGTTTGACCCTTCGAACAAGGCAAGTTGCATTAATGTAGGGGCCCTAATAATTAGAATAGGGCTCCCTTGAAGGGTTCCTTCAAGGGTTCCTAGAAGGGTTTTAGGTTTAGGGGCCTTAATGATTTGAATAGGGTTTTGGGGTACAACATACTACAACAATAGTAAGGGACCCCCCCAAATAGTATAGATAATTATTAAAGCCCCTGCGCTACTTGCTTCTGAACCGCCTGTTTGTGCTTGGGGGCAAGATATATGTGCAATCAGCAGGGGAACTTGCACACAAACTCTAAACCCAAAGCCCTGATCAACCGTGGGCTGTTGGCTGCAAGCACCAATGTAGATTTCTACATGTATGTACTTTCAACAAACCTAAGCCATCAGCTCATGCATCCCTACCCGCATACCGGCCTACCTACCTATCCACCCACCACCCACCCACCTACATACCTGACAACTAGTGGGTTTTTTGGAGTTTAGGGGAATATTATGGCTACGGGTGCTTTTTGCTGAACATTTTCATATTGAGGTCGGACTCATGTATGTATGGTCATACATACCAACAAGCCATAACAAACCTGTGTAAAGCAATCCTCTTTCTCGACACACTCGGGGCCCACAAGCCCGAAACCATTCCTAAAGCCGTACTGAGACGGTTTCGGGTTTAGGGTTGGGCGTTTGAGGGTTTCGGGTTAGCATGCAGACCCACAACCCATAAGCCCGAAACCCTGCAGCAACTCTAAACCTTACATGCTCTATCAGGGTTAAAGGTTTAGGGTTTAAGCTCTAAACATTTTATCTACCAACCCTTAACCCGATACAGCCCCGAACTCTGGACCTTTCGGGTTGTTTCTGCGAAGGACTTGGGTTTAAGGATTACGGTTTAGGGATTTGCCTGAGAGATGGCGAGGGAGGTGATGGCCAGCAGCCAGACTATTGCCGTTGCCTGCGACGGAGCACGTGCAGTTTAGGGTTGAAGGGTTTAGGGGTTCAGGGTGTAGGGTTTACGTAGGGTATAGGAAGTCGACGGTGCTGGCCTCTTTGTTTTGCAGTTGCAACTCTGAGGTACGTCCAGAAGGCTACATCCCGAGAAGCCACAGCAACCCGTAATATCGGGCGTGCTATGCCTTGAATTGAAACTTACAGAAACCTTATCGTACCCACAACACCAGCATCTCAGCGATAGGTTACTGGGCTATCCTTATAAGCCCCATCCAACAACTTATAAAACAAGTCTGAAAAAAGCCTCAAAAGGCCGGTAAAACCCATGCACTGCACGAGAAGCCTTCATAACATCTCGAATGCCCAGGTTGACTTAGTCCTAAACCTTGAACCCTAAACCCTAAACGGCCTTACGCGCTTCCATACCACCCCTGCTCTGAACCCACGCGGGCCACGACAATTCTTGCCCGACGGAACCCAGCCCTATGCCGAGACAATGGGTCCCAAGGACCCAACAAAGAGATACTGTACTGTAGGGGCCTTAATAAATAGAATAGGATTTTGGAGTATATTATACAATAATTGTAATAATGAACTCCCAACATAGAATAGGTAATTGTTCAGGCCCCTATATTAGTCTTGGCTGACTTCTGAACCCCTCCGACAAGGTTAAACTTCTAGACTTTTCATAGCTCATGTAGAAACCGAAAAAATCAAAGTCCTAAGAGCCAACCAGAAAGTTTCGGATAGTGATGGTGCATCTGGAGGAGTGTACGACTGGTTGGTACTTGGTCCCTTCAGGAGAGGGAGGGGGCCTCGGAACATTTTGGGTACGGTTTGGAGATGATCCTTCGTCACCAGGCTACAAGGTGCACCCGTCATCTGAAACCCTAATATCGAAAGCATCCTAAGGACCTACATGAGTGATACTTTCACAACCCATGTGTCCTAATGCAGAAACTCCGCTTTCTACCGTGTCTGTGATCTTAGTCCTCTTGGGACAGTTGCACGCGCACAGCCTTGACTGCTAGGCCAAGGTTCAGAAAGTAGCACATGCTCCTGAGCATGGGGCAGTCTTCATTTGGTGGGAGCATGAGCTATTGGGCCCTAAGCTTTATCTAGAGCCCCCAAACCCCAAAGCCTAATTCCTAAACCCTAAACC